GTTTTAGTAAAGGGCAAAAAATCGAAAAGAATTGTACCTTAGAACGTAACGAAACCTTGTCAGCAGCGGTCTTTCTCTTTCGACTTTGTAATGATGATCCCTTTGCATCATCATTATCATCACTTTCCCAATCGGGATTTTGCTCATCGTGTTGAGGAACACGTTGGAAAACAGCAGCTGTGTAAGAACATAGTGAGTGAATGAGGTTATTACAGTCAAGAAATCGAAAATTTTCTTGGGTATAGTCATTTACCAGGGGGAGGATTAGTGTTATCGACCCAACATAGAGGCCACCATCTTCTTCGACGAAAATCGTACAAGGAACATCTCGCGTAAGTAACTCGATCTTTTACAGGGATTGCTTTATGTTCAAGGTAAAATGGGTCGAGCGTTTTTACCCAAGAAGGGTGAGATAAATACTTAGCCAAACCAGAAAGAGAATTTGGAAGAGGAGGTATCCTTTTAGGACAAAATTTTTTGAAATCAGATTTTCCTTTAGGGTTAATTACCTTTTTCGAGCGAATGTTCCTCTGTACCATTTTCGATAGAGAGACAGACGCGTCGAAGATGGTTCGACCAACGTTGTCAGGTCGATAACACACTTTAAAAAATTGCTCAAACTGATAAATAATAATTCAGTTCTTGAAAGTACCTGATTGTTTGGGACCCTGCGAAGAAAGAGGAGAGTTAATCAGCTTCTTCAAAAATGCATCAAAATCGAGAAGTTTATCCATATGATATGTACACCACCATCGAAGATAACACTTTGACACTAAGAAAGAGGGAGAGAAACGGCATGGGGTGAATCTAAGTTCTTTTTCAGGTCGAAGAATAAACTCTAAAACTTCCTCATAGTTTCCCGTATCGACACAGATGTCAGAGTCAATACTTTCTTTCTTCGAAGGGGAAGAGGTTTCATCTGACCCAGACCAAATTGGCGAGCAAACATTTGAGGCTGGTAGGGATAGATCCTAACTTCTTTTTGTCTCATACCAGACATGATTACGTCCCAAGATAAAAATCTAGCCCACATCTCGACAGAAGCTGGGGTGATATTCCAAACCTGGTTATTTTGTCGAAGCCAACATGGACCTGTCAAGGTGGGTCGAATGAAAGGAGCTAAGTCCTCACTAAATTCAGTGAAGCTTAGAATGGCGTCAATATATGTTGCAAAATTATCAACTAAACGTTTTCGAGGGGTCAAAGTGGTTAAACGTGCACCCTCAAGTTCACAGGTGGGAGTAAAGGTTGAAGTGAGGGATAGTTTCTTCTCGAAAATGGCATTGAGCCATAGTTGAAGTAGCCATAATGGTCCAGAAAGATTTTGAGGTCCAGTCTCTCGGAAAAGGCTTTCAGAAGCTTCATCGAGACAGGTATACAAGGAGGCCAATAAAAGTTTACTTAAACAAACTTTCTTTTTCAAATGTAAGGCTTGGGCGAGAGTGAAATAGTATTTTGGAACCTGAAGCGAAGGAGTACAAAAAACGCAAGCAGATAACCAGTACATTAAGAAGGCAATATGTTCAAAAGGCGAAACAGGGGTCCCGGGTTGTCCTACATGGGCATTGATGAAAGCTAGATACGTCTTCTTATCCCATGTGATGGAAAGTTCTTTGATCGAAATTTCTTCCTCGAAAACATCAGGGTGGAATCTATCGCCTAAAGGGGTTAAACCAGTTATTGCAGCAATATCCAATAAGGTAGGGCAAACGAACCCACAGGGAAACTCGAAGGCTCGCGTCTCCCTATTCCAGAAGAAAATCGCAGACAAGAGCATTTGTGGGTCGAACAGATGTAAGTCAAACTTTGCAAGCTGAATGAACTCAAATATACCAGTTTTGACCCATGAAGAACTCATTTCATTTTCCACACGAAGTAACCATTCCAAATGCCTATTTTTGACGGGGGGAAAGGCCCTAAAAATCTTGGTAGTGTTTCTAAGCAAAGAAAGATCTATCTCTGGTGAATGAATAAAGGGTAGAGTGGACGAATCCTCAGGTAACAAAGTATTACCAAATTTCTTCTTATTTTGACCAATAAACGGTCCTAGAAAAGCATGCATATTACCATTCTCAAGGGAGAAGGGAAGAAGTACCTGAGAATTATAAATCTTGAGGCTAGCCTCCTCCATGCCAGGAATGGGTACAAAGGTCTCATTGCTCTCAGGGACAGTACAAACTTGCGCATTACTCATCAACAAAGGAATGGACTGACTGGAGGTTGCAGTCGTCATTACAGCATGGGATGTTGCAACGGCCAACGTAGGAGATGATGTAGAAACCTCAGTAGGAGACGAAGCAGAAGCCATAGGTGGAGATGAGGCAGAAGCGGCAGTAGGAGACACTGTGGAAGCTATGGCAGCAGAGGTAGACGCAGCAGAAGAGGCCATGACGGTGGAAATATTGATGAAGGCAAAAAGCTTATAATGAAGGTATGAAGGTTGCCGGAGAAGGAAGAAGCCAAGAAACGCAGTAGCAGAAAGTAAGAAGACTTGAGCGCCAAGAAGAAATGTAGTGAATGTGGTTTTACCCTAGGGTAAAAAAGGAGTTTTAATGGGCTTGAGATGAAACGGGCTTGTAATTCAAGTTAAAATTCAAATCAAATAATAAAAACGGCCGCCAGAATATTTTGATAACAGTGAAACAAAGGAAACACGTGCCGTTATTGCCATCAAGGTCGCATCAAACGGTCATGTGCATTAAATGCAAATCAGGGTACAGGTCAGAATAGGTTTTCATCGAAAGGTTATCAATTGACATCAATTAGTTGAAAGAGCATTGAAGAGATCCCTTGATAGGAATTGAGTTCTTCTCTCACCCAGCATGTTCATCGAAACTGAATTCCTAGGGGGGCATTTGTTAGAGCTACTCGAAACCCAGAATTCGAAAGCTACTCGAAAGCTATATCTATGAAACTACTCGGAAGGGAGATAAAGGTCGAACACTTACCAGGATCGTATCAGCAGCCCTATTTGGTCACGTGCGAGATGGGTCGAAAAACATTATTCGAATCGAACAGAGAAGTGCTCGAAAATAAATGAAGAAGGTTACTAGAGGTTTCTTAAAGTAGTTTGAGTAGTTATCTTAAAGCAGTTAATAAAACATGGATCGAAGAGGTAAAAAACACGTGGGGCAGACGGTTACGAGAGGTTTTATTTTAACCCACGTAATGGGCTTAGTGGACAACAGTTATGTGCCCATAATACGTGTACACAGAAATAACTGCTCTTGAGGATTTCTGTAAGTATGAAAGGCACACTCTTTTACGAAGGTCGGAAAAACTCATACTTAAACTAAACTCTCAAACACTCTCTGCCTGCACACATGGCTTCCGTGCGAGGAATTATCTTTGGGTATGATCACTTCTCGGCCACATTTCTTTTCTTGTTCTAGGAGTAGTTATAGTGTAGGTTTCTTCCTTTATTTCTCCTAATCACATAGTTGTAGTGCGTTAATTATAACTCTTGGACAGTATGTAATTTGAACCATGATTTGTATTGCGAATATATCCATTGTTCATTCTGTTCATTTTAGCATTTACGTGCATGCAAATTATTACTTGTTAATTATCGAGGAACATCTAGAAACAAGTAATCACTAATCTTCTACTCCTCCTTCTCTCGTCCTGTAGTATTCAAATCATAATATACCTAAATTGAAATATTTGTCATGCTAGTCCGAATATAAAGAATCCTTAAACAAATTCCACCGTAAACAGAGTCTCTCTTAGAATGCTTGGGATAGTAGCACAGATAAGGAACGGTGCCCCATAGGCCATAAGTGGAAGTGCAAAGTACAATGTTTGTCCTTAATAAATATTTTTTATATAATTAAAATTTATAATAAATAAATATATTGAATATATAAATTACATTTTTGTTTTAATGATGTAAAATATTTTTAACTATTAACAATTTCTTGTAGAAAAATTATTGAAATTTAATTTAGAAATAGAAATATTAAAAAGTATGGTAAATCAAAAGGTATTAACGTTAAAAAATATTAAATACACAAATAAAGATAAATAAATAAAATCAATTTAAAATGGTCGAGAGATTTTTTTTTCTAATTGAGTGTAGTGTTTGAAATGAAAATTCCAAAACAAAGAAGATAATATTCATAATGTCAAATAAGATATTAGAAGAAAAAAAACACTATACTCAAATAAAATATTTGAAATAGAAAAGTACCCATGGCATATCCAAGATTCTGAGTTAATAGGAGTAATTTATTTAAAAAAATTAATTATAGTTACTATTATTATAAATACAAAAATAGAATGTGAGATAAATAAAATGTTTAACTAAATAAAGAGTAAAATTACTTAATAAGGGCAAAAGAAAATAAATTAATAAAAGAAAAAAATTAACAACTGCTGAAAAATTGAAGATAATGAGTTCAAATTATAAAAGATAAAAGGTAAAAATTACTAAATTAGTATACACTTGCATGTTTTTTTCTCAAAGTCCCCCCCCCCCCCTAATGTTAACGTGTAGGTCTGCCGCTAGAAACTACCGTTCGTGTTATAAAAATGAGATTGGAAGCTAAGCAATGTGTGAATTTAGTCCTTGAACGTTTCAGAAATAATAACATAAGCATAATTTAAAAAATATATATTAATGCTGTTGATATATTATGCCCCCACAATTACTTACATGTGTAGAAATTCAGTACCTCTAAAAATTTAACATACGATGGAAAGAAAGAAAAATCATATTGTAATATGTTTGGGTAAGGAGGACTATTTTTAGGAAAATATAGTAATTATCCAAGTTGAAGTGTAATATATGTCTTACTCCTTTCTCTTTCTCTTATATGGTGTTTTGCACATTTATATATATAATTTAAGAAGGATTTCTCTATTAGAAAAAAAAAAGGATCGATGACTTGTAAAAAAATCCTAAACCCTAAACTTATAAATAAATAACTTGGAATGAACAAGTTTTTATCCTTATATAATAATGATATAAATTATATATAAAAATAAATTTGCAAATAAACTCTTAAAAATTAAAAATAATATTTAAAAAATTATCTTGTATAATTAATATAGTAAAAGTGAACAAATGATCACATCCTATTAATCCGTTGCATTGTTGAATGAGCTTGAACTTCATCGAAAACCCATGTCCATTTTGGCTTTGACGTTGTTCGCTTGAGATTGTATTGAGTTGATGCCCATTTCAATAGTGACATACGAGTCCAACTAACATAAACAAATAAAGTAAAAAACAGATATAATGTCGATAGTTGCACAGTTAGACGTGGCACTCCATTTCTATCTTAGTTGGTTTCTCAAGATGCCATTTCCCTCTTACTCTTGCAAAAGGAAAATATATAATTACTTGGTATCCAACAACACCATAAATCAACTTCCCCAAAAAGAGCCGCATTTCCCGATAATTTTAGGACTACCCGGCCCTACCCCACAAGCCAAGGGTACCACCCTCTTTTCCTTTTCCATAGTCAAATTAGTATCCCTATCAAGCATGGTATCCAACTTTACTTAACCCACAATTAATTAACCTCCCCAAAAGCCAAAAAGACCTTCCTTTCAAACTCATCATTCCTCTCCACTTTCTGCCTCCCCCAAAACCCTTTACTTAACCTTTAACTTATTATACCAATAAAGCCCCACCCATAGACATACATTATCATGAAAATTAATTACTAAGAAGAAGCAGAATTTCCCAATTGGAGGAAAGTAAAAAATGATGTTTTTACAATTACAATGCACAGTGATGATTAGCAGTGAAAACCTAAGACAGATCCATCGGATACGGCAATGGCAACCCTGCAACCGGCTTTGGCGTAAACGCGATGTGTGAAAAAGTGCAAGACTCGAACACGCCCCGCCATTTCCAGCTTAGACTCGATCTCCATAGTGGGCTGGACCCTCAGCCCATAGTTGAAGCCCACTCTGTCATAGTTCGGCAGCATGGGGCTCAGCCTTTGGGATGCCGAGAGGGGGAACGACTGCACGGAGAAGGTGGCTGCCATGTACTGCGTCCGCCCAACATCGATCTCGCTGGTGGGGATGAACATGAACCCCACCTGGCTACCGGACGCTTGGGCCGCTGCGCTGTTGGAGGGGCGGAGGCCTCCATGGCCTGCGGTGGCAGAGGGAGAGCCAGAGTGGAAGTGGAAGTGTGGTGTATGACTCTTCTTCTTTACGTCGCCGTTCGGAAGCGTGGGGCCCAGCCTTTGGGGCGCCGAGAGGGGGAACGACTGCACGGAGAAGGTGGCCGCCATGTACTGTGTCCGCCCGGCGTCGATCTCGCCGGCGGGGATGAACATGAACCCCACCTGGCTGCCGGAGTAGAGCAGCTGGAGGGAGCTGTCGTAGTGGGAGAAGGCCGCGCGGTTAGGGTTCCGGACGGCGGCGTACTGGGAGAAGGTGAAGTTCACGCTGCCGTTAGCCACCGAGAAGGACGGAAGCTGTACGGCGTTCACGGCGATCTTGGGGTCCTGCGGCTTGAAGACGGTGTAGTACACTATGAGGATGACGATGACGATGAAGATTAGGAAGATGGTGGCCACCACGCAGGAGGCCAGGTTGGTGCGCCCCGACGGCGGCCGCGGGCGCTTGGGGCGCGGCGCTGTAGGAGGGGCGGAGGCCGCCATGGCCTGCGGTGGCGGAGGGAGAGCCAGAGTGGAAGTGGAAGTGAAAGTGGAAGTGGAAGTGGTGTGTGACTCTTGAGAGCAGGATGTGGATGTGTTTGCGCATAATTTAAGGATGACACCCAACCTAGACTAAACCCCACATCCACATCGTTTAACAAAATTAATAATTTGTTTCTTGCAAACACCCCATGGATACTCGTAATAAATATAAATATTTTTTATTTCATACACAAACAATTTCTTTATAATTTTATATGAAAATTACCATTTTTTTGTATAAGAGTTCATTATAAATATATTATTATTAAAAAACTAAATAATAATTAAAGATGTCTTGCAAATGTTATAGGAGTCTTATTTCTAAAAGAAAATAACATTTTAAGAAAAATGATTTAGTTGAGTTGAGGTTTAAAAATTTGAAAATAATATATTTTTATATAAGAATTTTTGTAACAAAGTTGTTTGATTTAAGTTTAGGGGTGGTTGTGATGTTAAGAGAAATTTGTTTGTAGTAAGAATATAAAGGTAAGAAGAGAGGTGCATTAAAAGGTGTATTTGATTATATAAATAAATGAGATTGTGGAGTATTGCTTAGCCAAACACGATTTTTGTCTTGAAGTGAACAGTGAGGATTACATGGAGTGATGGCGGTTGTCCCCTTGTCTTGGCGTTCGAGTAGAATATTTTAGAAATAAGATGCAACTGTATTTTTATTTTTATTTTTATTTTTTATCTACGTGTTCACATTTATGAAACTGCACTTTCCTAGTTCTCCTCTTTATCAAACAATACCATAATCAGTTATAATTAACAAATAAAATAATTTATGCGGTTAGATTTTCTACATTGTTATTTAATTTAAATTAAACACATGTTTTTAGAGGTTTTATATATCCACTTACTTTACTTTTTTATATTTATAGTTTAAAATAATTTTTTTTATTCTTATACTTATTTTTTTTAATATTTTTTAATCTTTATAATTTAAGATAAAGTTTTTAACTCTCTATATTTATAATTTTTGTTATTAATATTTTTTATAACATTTTTTCTTTTATATTGTTTTAATAGAGATATTAATTCATTTTATTAGAATTATTTTAAATTATGTCTTTTAACATTTCATTTGATACACTTTTTTTAATCCTCATAAAATCAACACAAAAACAGATAATATTATAAAAATAATAATAATAAAGATTACAAATATTTTGATTTTAAATTATAAATGTCTATTTTAAATTATAAAAAATAAATGATAAAGTAAATAAAATTATAGGGGTTAAAAAATATTTTAATTTTTAATTTAAAATATGAAAAATAAATTATTTTTATAAAATTACTTTAAATCATGTTTTATTATAATTTGTAATTTTTAATAGTATAAAATGATTATTAAACTCAATAAATAAAAATCTAACCTATAATGGCATACAATCATTTCATATCTAATATATATAATATCTTAATTTCAATTTTTAATGTTGTTATGGTAATTTACTAATTTTTATGTATAAAAGATACTAGCATTTCATGCTTAATGCCTGTAACAAACAATATACTTGCTGTTACATTACTACTAATGATATTATTAGACAAAAAAGTATCATTTACTAGAATAACAAATCAAATTATCCATTAGTTATTTTAGTCTTTATATTCATTGAATTAAATATATTTTAAAAATGTTATAATATATTGAAATGTAGTGAATGGATAGTAGTGGAATATGGCTGTATTTTAATACGACAGCTTTTGACAATGTGCAGCAGTATGGTAAGATTTGGAAGACGAATAAGGAGGGTGTCAGATATTGGTTTGACTGTTGAGCACTACTAGCAAAAGAATTCAGGTCAAGGGCAATCGAGCTCCGTGATGGAAAGCTAGCTGTTCCACATTATTTTCCTGCAATCACATTTTTTACTTCACCACTTTTACATTGATTTTCGTGCAAAATTTTAATATTTATAACTTATAAGACTTTAATTACAAATGAATGTCACTATAATCTTTTTTCTTCTAATTTTAATATGTAAAAGGTAGATTTCTCGTGTTAATTGGTTAGAAAATTTGTGGAGAAAACTTCTTAAGTTTCACCATAAAATTTAGCAGAAATATTTTGTTAAGCTTCGTCAATAAAATATAATTTCAAATGATAAATATTCTTAATTGAAGTGCTGTTGTAAACGCAGATATGAAAAATCAAATTACGTTAAATACTTTTTCAGTGATCTTTTTCTATTTTATCTTTTTAATCCATTTATTTTAACAATATGTTCAATGATTATTTTGAACTATAAATGAGTGAGAGACTTGTTTGACTCTCATTTTAAGACTTTTTTTTTAATGATAAGTGTTATACTTAAATTAATTACAAAAAGGAGTAAAAGAGACAATCAAATTCAAATGAGTGGTCTAAAACTTGTTGCTACTCAATGTTGTGTTAAAATTTAAAACTCTTTACTACATATCTATTTGTGAATATGAGTGGGTTGGTTTTATGGAGTTTGAAATGTTAGAGAAAGAAAGACCAGAAGGGTGGAGGATCAAAATCCAATTTATAACCAGGTTTTGGTAAATTAATAGCGACATCTAACACTGTTATTATCGAGATTGATAAGAAGAATACCTAAGTAACAAAAGAAAAAATTTAAGGATCAAATTCAAGAAAAATATGTCACAAGACTATTTTTTTTTTTTTTTACATAGTTAGTAAATATTGCTTATCGGAGATAATTCTATTTAAATTGAATATAAGTATTAGAGTGACAAAATTCTTACTTCAAATATTATATTTATAATTCAAATTTAAATATACTGATTAAAGTAAAACAATCTGGTACAAGATGATTCGCATATTTATTAGTATTAAAAATTAAACTAAAACCTAAATTTTAATTTTGTATGCGTTTGTGATGGTTATTTGAGTTAATTTATAAATGTATTATTCTAACTCATTGTCTTAATTTTTAACTTAAAAATAAATTAAGCGCTAATTTCGTTTTATTTTACCAAATCTTTTTAGAACAAAGATATTTTTTCACAAAAGATGTATAGACCTTTGAGGGAAGATAAATAATAAAGAAAAAAGTAGAGGTAAATAATACATGTAGTGAGTGATAATATAATGAGAAGGAAAAAAGAAAAGGAAATAAATAAATAAAGGTATAAAATAAGTGTAAAAGTTAGAGTGTGAAAAGAAAATTAAGATTGGTTTTTTTTTCTTATTTTTAGGCACTTGTAAAACAAGATGGATTAATCTTCACTCCCTTTTATCTCTCTTCTACACTCTTCTCCACCATCACCGAAGAAGACGAGGCCTCCTCCAAGGACGTAATGTTGATGCTTCATTTGTTTTTTGACTTGACTTCCAGCACAAGGTCTTTAAATCAATGCACAATTTGATCGTTTATCACAATTTTCTTTCTCGTATCCATGGTCCTTGGCCTCAGGGAGGACCCCTTTTTTTCTTAGGCGAGCCTAATAGAGTAGATAAGCTCACAACGGACATAACCAGGGACAATTTTATTTTAAATAAAATTTAGTAACAATCATCATATATAAGTATATATAACATAAATATTAAAAACAAACATTCATGAATTCAATATATAAAATTAAGAATACAAAATTTAATACTTTTAAATATACATTAATAATTTAATTAAAATAAGCTATGTCTCTATCCATTCTCATTATATAATGTAGGTTCCTCACTCGACATAATTAATAGCATATTGCAAAGAGCAAAGTAATAAAAAAAATGTATTTTCATTTATTGTGTATACCACTTATCGCGAATCATGAATAAAATCAACATTGACAAAATTATATTATTTGAGGGCTTATTCCTAAAAAAGTAGAAAAGCTCTCTTGGTGACAAAATCCATACCAACTCCACTACATTGAGGGTTCTTAAGTGGACATATCTTTGTGTTGCTTTTTTTAAAAAGCACATTTCTATTTTGCTATATAAATTAAAAGTTAGCAAGTAAGAAGTAATTACTTAAAATCATGTACTTATGGCATATTTCTAAAGCCCATAATCGCAAGAGAGAACAAATCGAAAACGATATATTTGCATTGCAACAAGTCCAAGGGATCCATGCTTATGGGTGCAAGCCCAAACAATGTTGAACTATAGTCTTTTGAAATACCTCCACAAATGTACAACAAATCTTAGCCATCAGTATCGTACGATCAATATTCAAAGTGTTTTCACATTTGCATTCTCTCTCGTACCCGCGAAACGGCTAGTTCTATAACCACAACTATTCACAATCAATGCTATAATGAATCATTATCAGACCACATGGCTGTCATAATCTTTTTCACTTTTGACTGCGACTATAATCATTTTGCTTTCTTCACAAAAATTATCTTAAAAGCACAGTGTTTTTTTTTGGGGTGGGGGGGACTATCATTTGAATCCAGTAAGTAACACGTACAAAAGGTCTGCATTATGATAAAGATTTAAATTACAATCATTTCATGGAATTCAATTTTCCCTTTTCATATGGAGACAAGCCCAACTAGGATGCGGGGCAAGGAGTAAAAATTCCATTTCATGTGCCCCTAACATGTTACATTTTTTGGGGGGTGAAACCTAACATGTTACATTTATTATATACACGTGACAGACTCGGCTCCTTTGTCACGCCTCCTACTATGAAAGATGAAATGAAACCTCTGTATAATACATCTTATTCAGACCTTTGATTTCTGTTCAACATGGCAATACAATCTTGAAAATCAGTTTTGAGAAGCTAAAAATAGACGAGCATGTCCAGAACACATCAAGCCATATCACAAGACACAATTTTATGCAACCTGTAGTCCATCCCAATATGGACTAAATCACTCACTCAATACATACAAAAACACCTATAACTCACAAAAACAAAGAGTCTAATTTGCAAGTTTATCAAGACGAGAATCCATGATTTGGGAGATGGCTTCAATAAATGCCGATTCCTCCATGCCAGGGAGCAAGGAATATTGGGCTTCCCCAATAATCTCTTCAATCATAGATTCTTTGTTCAAATTTTCCCGGCACATAATGCTTCCAATAACATAGGGAGTAAGGCCTCTCTCAACTCCTTTCTTCAGCAACATTGTGGAAATCCGAAATGTTCTAGCACACTCAAGTGGAATATCCCATCCATAACATTTCAAAAGTTCCAAGTCTTTTTCAGCATCCAGAGATTTGATATAATCAACAGTCTCAGGAGAATAAGGCTGACGTGCTTGTGGCCAGTAAATCCAATCAAATGTACAATCTTCAAACTGCAGAAAGAATAATGAAGTTACTCCATATTCAATCAAACAAGAACAATCTCATTTTATAGAATGTGGACCTCAGTTATTGTGTATCAATGCGACACCCTAATTCCTAGCATCTATGAATTCCATCTACCCACAATTACATCGGTTATTCTACACATAGCCTGCACAAAAAATTGAGTGACAACTTGCAACACGTGTTCCTCCATCTCCATCAATTTGAATGAATTAAACATGTCAAGTCAAAAAATGCAAATAACTTCTCTGTATAGAATCACCGATCCCCACACCTAATCTGCTCTACATGTGGAACTATATATAAGTTTTGTCCTAAATTTTTTTATCTAACTTGGTTGCTTCAACTCAAAATCAATTTCTCAACATGGAACAAAGCATGCAAACAATTACCTAATATCAAGTTAATTGGTATTTCAACATGATTTTGGATCATTCAACATGAACCCAAACATGCACTTATAAGGGAAAAAGAATGCTTACTTTATCTGGCAGACAATAGCCATGATCAATAGGAATGAGCTTCATGTGGCCATCTGCTTCCTTTCTGATCAATATATTCCCAGCATGCCTGTCTGCGTTAGCCAATCTTATATCAAGCACAGTAATCTTATGCACCTCCTCCACAGGGAAAGCCCAGGGTCCAATGTCCTCACAATTACCATCATTACTCATGAACTTCTGCAGTGACCCAATCTTGACATGTTTTGAGGAGCAAGCAAACCCATTTGGGTAGTTAAACTCTCGGTGCAAACACTGCACCATAACAGTAGGGGGAACACCAGAAAACCCGACTGCTTCACCTGTCACCAAACGTGGCCCATTCTTCGGATGATCCAATAAGTATGCTGCAACTTCCCTCAAGGCTCCTTCTCCAACCTTTGTCCCTCTTTTCAAACCCTCACCATTGGATGAAGTTGGAAGACCTCTTGGGTTGTTCACAGCCATTGGTTCCTCATCCATGGGCTTGAAAACCGAAACATGCTCCTGACCTGTTGAATCTTGCATCAAGTAAGTCCCTCCAGTGCCCTCAGAAGACCTAATAGGGTGATTTCCATTCTTCAAGCCCTCAAATGTGGATGTGATCATGTCCCAAAGGAAAGGGAAAAAAATGATCTTGGGATTCACAATAATTGGCTCCAACCAAAAACCTACATCAGGTGGGACCTTTGCTATGTGAACATGTTTGTCCCTAGTCTCTCTTACATGTTTCACTCTCTCACATGGTGCCACTGCCTCCACTGAGAGCTTCAAGTCTTTATGAATTGGTGTAGTCCTTACCTTAGCTGATTTCTTAATTATCAAATGAATCACATCATCATCACTCTTGCATATGTCATGGAAGAGCCTCTGGTCATCGAGCTTCTCATCATCGCAGAAAAGCTCTTGTTCCTCAAGATCAATGAAACCTTCCCCCTTCTTTCTAATGCGTTGCTTTAGATACCCTACATTCTTGTGCCTGTCGATGTGGAATTCAAATTCCTTCCCATTAACGGTCTTCACAACAATGAAGAGGATATCAGAGAGGCGCAGAACCAAGTGAAGTACGTTGCCATCAGTGACACCATACTCCTTGATGAGTGTGCCATTGCGAGCAAGCTCTCTGCCACCAAAAACCAACTTCTGCTTCTTCACCACGAAGCCTTTGCACTGCTGAATCCTCAGTTTCACCGAGGCAATGGAATCGGACTCGAACACGCGCATTGGGGTGACAGCACCATCCACAGTGAGGTAAATCAAGATTGGCTCACCAGAACAATGTCCTGGCAGCCCTTCCCAATGTACCTTGTCGTTGCAAACTGAACTCAAAGCAAACTCAGCAATTGACATCTTTCAAAGTCAATCACTAATTTTTTATTTTGTATTTTTTATTTTGGGTTTGGGTTCCAAAATGGCCTTACTTGAAGAAATGGAGAAACAAGTAAGAGGCAAGAAGGTGTTACAGTATAAGGGGACCCAAACAAAAAGGAAAAAGAATGGATTTTGATGCGAAAGTGGAATACCCAGAAGGGAAATGTGATGTGGGAATGTGAGAGGTGCGATTAAAAAAAAAAACTCTCGAAGGAATGGTTGAAGAGAAGCGAGCGAGAGGGGACTCTTACCGAAAGGAAAGAACCAAAGGAAAAAGTGGGAGAATGAAGAGCTTAAATGAATTGCGGAAGAATAGAGAGGATGGCATGATTCCGATAGTTATGTGTTAATAGGAGAGCAGTGAGTGGGCGATTTTTGTGGAGTGTGTGAGATCAACGCCATTCTAGCCGTTGCCTTTTTATACACTTTTGAGTTTTGACCCTCCTCCTATAACGCCAAGGGAAGGAATTTTTTATCTTCCTTTCAAACTAACCACGTTCTTCTACCCACAAATAAATAAATTACACTCTCACTATGTAACTTGTGCATATTTTTATCTACTTATTTTTCAAAAAACGTCTCTCACCAAAATTTATTTTTTTATTTTAAAATATAAATAAAAATAAATTTTGTAGCATAATTTCTTATTCTTATTTAATAAAAGTTGTGTTTCACAACACTTTTAATTTTTTAAGTCATGGTACTGATTTTTTTAATATATATTGGATATTTTGCAATTTTTTTCATCCATTGTAATAATTTCCCGATTAAGGATCCAGAAACCCATTAATTGGCAAAATAAATGTTGCATTAGAACTTGAAAAGTGAAAAACTGACGCTGTAGTACTTTCATGCATGTATGTGACCGTTGCACGAACATTGCAACGTGGCTGGACCGTACAAGTCTCACAACAACAAACACACGTGTTAAGTTAGTATAAAGACATGTGTTCACTGTACTTATAAATTAAGATTATTTAGTATAATCAATTTTTTAAATTAATAAAAATAATGTAAAATGTGAAAAAAAAATCTTTCTCGCTTTCATTTTTTTTCACGAAGTGATGTGTTCTTAAAAAAATTTATATAAATGATTAACTTACTATTTATTTTCTTTAAATATTTTAAAATAATTTATAAAAATTAAAATAATTTTGAGAATAGTAAGATTTTATTTACTGAAGTTGAAGGAGGTTTTATAATTTTTTTATTTAATCTGTTCCATATAATTTTACATAAGTATAAAAAGTTTAAATTTATCATGACTCAATATATAAAAAATATTCTCACTAAATCTAAACATTTGTATATGTAAATATTAAAATTTTAAGAAAATGTATATTGAAATGAAAAATATAAACATGTTAAAAATCAAATAATTCTAAATTAAATGGTCAAATATTAAGAAAAAAAAAAAAAAAAAGAAAACAGTTCTAAAATTCTTTAAATATATAAGGGTATCGTAGAATTTCTAAAAAAAAATCTATGAATACCTAACAAATGAAAGACAGAATAGATAGATCTCGACAGCTGTTGATTTAAGATGAATTTATATTCGAATCTTTGAAATCAACAAAACTCAAGTTGCACCTTCAATTTATAGCCAATAAATTATTGTATTGTAAAGGTTAAGGTGGCGTTTTTTGGATTGATTAAGATTAGTATATATGTATTTTTGGATCAATCAACTTTATGAGAATGAAATGAAAGATATATGTAATTGGGATGAAGTAGAGTAGGAGAGGGAGAGGGATACCGTAGAGCAAAGGGGATTGACACAATTACTATATTTATTTGATTGAACAGACACATTAAATTTAACCGAATTATTTTCCTCTATCCAAAATAATAGAAAATCAATCAATTTCATAAAAAAAGTGTTTCATTTTTTTAACTCAAAATTTACCTCATTTAATACTTTTTAAAATTATTAGAATCTATAACCTAAAATATCTATGTCCAATTCTTCATTTTGTACATTCGGATTTTATAAATTCGGACGATTAAATTTTTTTTTTATCAATCATAATGGATAATAATATTTATTATATTGTGATGAACATTTTTTAATATTATTTTTTTAACATTAATCTCTTTTCATCTTGAGTATTTTTAATTATTAGAAATTAAGATTTAAATCCTAATTATAAATGAAATAAATCTTTTTATCACTTGTGTTAATCCAAATTAATATATTATATTCATATAATTAATCATATATATTTTTTACAACATGATTAAATTATATGATACGTTCCAAGAGAAAAAAAAAGGCGGTTAAGTGTTTTATCTGATTAAGAGTCCGTTTAGTAAAGAGGAAAAAAAAAGTAACAAATAAAATAAGAGAAAATAAATGAATAAAAATAAATTAATCAAAATAAATAAATAAAAATTGGTTATTTAATTTAAGAAAAATATGCAAGAGAGAAATAAAAAAGTTAATTATTTTTTTAATAATCACACCATAATATCCATGTAATAAACGTTTCAATCGACTGAGTTTTTTTTAATCAATATTGTAATTTAAAACCGCATGTAATTGAAAAAAAAAAGTTTCAGAAATGATTGTGACATTCAGAAGCATTCTGTATGATAAAAAAAATTAAACAAATAAAGATTTTCGATTTTGAACCTCCACAAGTTTTTCCACTCGTTCTTCCATGGAAATACAAAGAGGTGAGCGTGATATTTACCCCCCCTTTTTTTTTTTGTCATCTTATTTTTCATTTATCAAATTCATTTCATTTTCACTTTTCTTTCTTCTATTTCTTACCTTCCAATCATATTCAAAGTGTTGATAATTAAGTAATTTTATTTTAGGAGGTGTATTTTATTAATTTTTTTAAAAAATTATTTTAACATGAAGAAGTCTTATGAATTTTAAAATATTTTATAAAAATATAATAAATTCTTAAAAAAAAATTATAATCAATATTTTATAATTTAATTTTTAATATATTCATATCTCAAGAATATATGATTTAAAAAGATTTTATGAATTTTAAAATATTTTATAAAAACATAATAATTTTTTTAAAAAACTTATAATTAAGATTTTATAATTTAATTTTTAATATATTTATATCTTAAGAATATATATGATTTAAAAAGATTTTATGTGATTTCAAAAGACAATATAATTTTTTTACAAAGTAAAAAATTAAAAATAATAAGGTTTAAATTAAAAAAAAAAGTATTCTCAAGAATTCTAAAGACAACATAGAGTAAAACTTTTTGTAACACTTTAACACCTTAACAAGAGAGTGCTAGAGAAGATAGAGGGGTTGAACAGACATAATTATCTGCTAATTACATTACATAGCTAAAATGTAATTAAAACACTTTATACACTGATTCTCATTTTATTTTAAAATAAATAACAGTAATTAAGTATGATACGTTGAATTGTAGCTAGTGATTTGACAGAGGTTAATGCATATCCTGATTTGGTAAAGGGGTACATCCCATTGCAATCAACGCGAGTGTTTAGCATTGCGTTGGTTCCTAGAATTGAAGTTCGACATCTCTTGCAAATACCTTCAGATTCACAAAAGCACCAGGCAAAGATATAGATACTTGCTTTATTTTGTCTCCACGAGCTAAATTTCCAATGTACTCATTTTGGTTTGCTTTTTGCTCCCTAAAGATCCTATTCATTCAATAATACTTTCTATTTATAAATTAAAATATAGGTTTAGCTTTTGATATAAGCAAACTAATGTTTAGAAAAATCAGTAATGTTTACATGGGATTTGGTGTCCCATGGCTTTTTGAGATCTGCATTATGACTAATAATACAGTCTAGTAATGGAAAAAAGTTGGATGAATTTTATTTGCCCCAACATAATTCAACTTTTTAATTTATATCTATCTATCCTTTCCACTATATATCACGACTCTTCTTCACATGCTCCTTGCCCCAAATGTATTTCTCATATGTCAATTATCATTTATGAACTTGAGCCTAGTGCGAACTCCCTATATTTATTTATATGCCACATATCTTAAGCACTTTATTTTTTCTCATGCGTGAAGGAACAAAGCTTATATTTGTCATGATTGATCGAGTATAAATTAATTTGAGAAAATAATCATTATTTTTAATTCTCTTAAAATTTGATAAGAATTAACAATTTTTTGGAATAAACCAAACGAAACAAGGTACTCGAAGATTATGAATTTTCTTGCATTCTCGTTATCGTTAGTAGTGCAGGAGATGTTCGCAGAATACTGTTTTATTTTTCAGTTTTCACGTCGTCAGTGTTCTTTTTTGACCGTTATGGTCGGTGGAGCAGTCGCACTCCGTTACTGTTTTTAACCCTTTTTTTTACTGTATTTTTTATTTTATTTTATCATTTCAGGGCATAATATAATATAAAACTTAAATAAAACACTTTAAATATTATTATTATTCTTTAGCTAAAAAAGGTTACTTTAATAATTTTCATGATAAAATGTTATTTATTGAAATAAAATTATAATTTATAATTAAAATAACAAAATATTTTATTCAAATTTTATCATAATGTATTTTTTTCCTGGCTCCCTGGGACCAAGTTATGTGCAGTATTTGGGATTTTTGGAAATGATAAATGGATACATGAACGTTTTCTTGACTATTTTGTCCAACAAAAGCGTCATTTTTATTGGTTCAGGTCCAGACTCCAGAGAGCTGGTTTGTAGCCCAGGATTCGAATAAAAAGCACATTTATCGGTCTCACCAGGGCTTTTGGACCACTTTAACTATTAACTACCATATAATATATAATCTACCATATATTTACAAATTGCACATGATTATTTCGATTAACCAAAAAAATTTATTCGGTGCCAAAAATTTTATATCGACTAGTAACATGTTTTTTATTTTTTTTATTTATATATTTTTTAATGCGACTAGTAACATTTTTAAATATAAATGAAAATAATTTTTGTTTTATGAATTAATTTTTGTCATACATTAATTTTTAAATCAAGTTTCTGCTAGCAGCCTGCCTAACATGCTATTAGTGCTTTATCGGATAGTATTAGAGGTGCTTTCTGGTTTTATCACTTTAAATATATCATTAAAAAAAAATGAGATTGGGTTTAGCCTAAATCCAAAATTATCATGTTATTTTCTACACGGAAGGATGATCTTCCTCGTCTTATACTCCATATTTTGCTTTTATGTGGAGACAAGGTTAATATATCTCTTCATAGGATTAATTAAAGATAGTGAGACAGAAAAGAAGTGACTCATGCATCCACGTGACAATGGACAATGAGGACAAATTTTGAAAGACAGTGAGGCTGAAAAGGTAAATATAACCACTACGATAATGGACAATGGACAATTTGAAATTTGCATGGATTGCTGCTGACAGGAATTGTGTATATGTTCTTCAATGGTTGTGTCTTTTATTTGCGCAATTTTAATGCTGACATCATTGTAATTGTCTTTCTAAGGGAGCTAGTCTTGTCTTTCTCAGGGGATGAGCTGCTTCTGTAGTCTTCAATGCCTGACGTTAGTTTTAAAACTGGGAAACTCTCTATGAAGATCCCTGCAAGGCCAGTACCTATATTTGAAGAATCTTTCACAAATAAAAGGAACTACTGATATTTTTCTAGAATTACTTTTTTTCATAAAATTAATTTAAATTAGAAAAAAAGTTTAATTTTAAGCTGTTGAATAATTTATGTGGGCAAGCTTTCAGTGTGAGATTCTGTATATGGTAGGGAACAAAGAGGGTTGTGAAAAAGAACTCACACAATTATACGCGTTTCCTCAACATATTATATACATGAAGAAAGCTATGAAAGGGAAAGAGAAGCATATTACTTTAAATAGGGAATTGTCATATTCCTCAGTAAGGATGGATTTCGAGATACAAATTCTTGCCACTCCTCTGGATCAATCCTTCCATCTCCTTTGGAGTCTGCTTCTTCAAATGTCTTCAACAATAGGAACGAGTAAACATTTAATCAGCAAAATCCTAGCACCCAAATTTTGTCATATCTTGTTATCAAAGATATAATTAATTAATTTGGTTCTAAATGAAAGAAATTATTAGGTAGTTCTGAACTATATAATTCTTAACTACTATCTACATGACATGTAAACAAGAATGAAAAATTAGTAAGAGGAAAAAGAGAAGTATTGATACCTTATCAATTATGACCTCAATTATGTCTTGAGACAGAACCAAATCTGACTCACTTAGTAGTGCCAGGATCATCTCTCTTACCTTCCATCACATAGTTTGAAAAATATAATTACTCTACAAGGCTGTAAATAGAATGTTAATCTGAGTTACATATGGGTGGTTTACAATTTAGAACATTTATACATGATATAAATACAATTTTTTTTATATGATACAGTCTGAGAACACTTGACATGAGAGAATCTATTAGGATAAGGATAACTTACGGTTGACCAAGATGAGAATTAAAGTCAATATATGCTATTTATTGTTTACCTGGCCTCGTTCAATAAAGCCTCTTTGACATATATCATAGAGTCGAAATGCAACTGCCACATTAGACACCAAGGCTTAATACAAATATTGTAAAGGCATACATGCAGATTCACATTCTTTAGAGGAAATCTTACAATCTGCTTTTTGTGCTTGTGGGGTTGCTGGGTGGAAGACGCTCAGAGCTCGAACGAACTCTCCAAATTCTATTACCCCATCATTTTTTGAGTCAAATAAATCAAAGAGCTGCGATCAATTTTGGATAAAAACAGTGAATTGTGTCATTCCAAAAAGAACACAAGATTGTTGCACAAATCACATATATCATCCTATTTTGTCACATGATGTTTTCTAAAATTCAGAAGTTAAATAGTATGAGGAAGCTGACCCTGTCAGCAAAGAGGCTCTGTTTGTCGCTGCTTCCAAATAAGCCTAGCTGAAACTCTTCCTGCATAATATTCGAGATATATTTTCTTTTTGGTAACAAATATGAGATATATTAATCTATTCATTAATTAATGAGTGTATATCACAATGTTAATTAATAACGTAATTTCTTAAAATTTCACACGATATTTCTGACTTTTTGATGTTTACAATAATTCTTCTTATATAGTATGCATGGTGTAACATGTTTCAACATGTACCTTCTTACGCTAAAGAAAACACATTATACCATGTATTCACGTAAGAAGAGTTACTGCAAGAGCTAAAAAAAAAAAAAGAATATGTGAAATTTCAAGAAACTAAATGGAGAACAAGTATAATTTGTCCTAAAAGAAATGGTGTTTAGGCTGAAAATGAGCTTAATGTAAATACTTTGCTGATAAGCCCGTCGTCGACGATGGAGCTGCTTAATTTCTTGAACAGATCATACAATGCTTCAATTTCAGAAATATTAACTGGACGAATAACATAGGCAAAGGAATAAGAACAACTGATTAAACCACTGGAATCCCAGAATAGAAAGTTTAAGACATAAAATTAGAAAGAAGGCTTACAATAGGTTTGGGACGCAAGAATTGATGGATCTTCATGATGAAATCGCTGTTTGGTGCAACAACACCCCATCAATTTGAGTTCTTTATGTTCCTACACTCTGTCCAGAGGGACGACTTGATACATAGGTAGTATAGATTACTTGCATTGGGTCGTACTACAAAAATATTATTATATTCTTCATGAAACAATAGGAATATTTTGTATTATTTATTTATGCTATATACTTTATGTTCCTAAACTCTTCAATTTTTTATTTTATTTTTCATAAAGGAGCTTATTATTAAGAATAATTTCAATGGGAGTTGCTTGTCCTATGAAGTAATTCAAGCCTCGGTTTCTTATCATTGGAGGACTCTGACATGACAAAACGAGTTGTTTGAAGAAGAGAGAGAGTTGCTTCCTCAAGCAACCGTTCTTTACCAAATTTCAAGCAAATCTTATTTAACATATTTGGGAACGTTTTGAAAATAATAATGATGAAAATTATTTTTGTATAATGTCTATGTATTTATTATTATTTTATTTTATTTTTAATATTTACTTATTATGTATTTTTATCTCGTAATTTATTTTTTTTCATTGTAGTGCAATTACTTTTTTTAATAAAAATTTAAAATTGGTTCATAAATGACTAGAAAAAAAATTCTAAAAGTTGAATTTTTTAAAGTTTCTTATTATTGCTGTAAATTTGTGTTTGAGTTGCTTAATACTGACATGACACACTCGAGACCACTTTTTTCATTTTTTAATGCATGAAGCAACTCATTTGAGTTGCTTATATTGTAGATGCCCTAATCTGGTATAATTCTTTATAAGTACTAAATGATTAATTTAATTATGTAAAAAAATATTAATTTAATTTTTAATTTTAGTTACATCATTCGCATATGTCAGTCACATTAACAAAGAATCAACAAAGATGTAATGAGAAATATCAATCTTCATTATTTAAATGAAGGTATAAGGATCAACAACTACTTTTTTTAAAAAAAAAGGAATAATATCTGCAATTTTTTATAATTATTTTATTATAGATATGCAATATCTTTATTAAATATTTATCGATCACTTTTAATAATTTTTTAATCATATTTTTTTTTTTATTTACAAGATTTTAACTTTTACTTAAGGAATATGAATTCAATTTTACTCATTTAACGTAATGTTGGTACTTGAAATTACGTCAATTATATGAATTGGGTTAATTTAGCCTATACTTTTAAAGTATCTATAAAAGAATATAACTTCTTATTTTAATTTTCTAAAAGTAATGTTTTTTTTTTTAAATAAAGAGATTACTTACATGGGCGGCTATTATTTAGCTACCTATTCAAGTTACCGATATATTCTGACAAATAGCAATTGTGATAGGCATAACATTTTTAGTCACAAACTCACAATTCGTATTGATTTTTGTTTTCCGTATAGTCCAACAATACCCGCGAACATATTGATCGCAAAATGGGATCTGCCAAATTTGTTTTTGTCTTGATTTCGATATTTCTTTTTCATTGTCTCTCGTACAAAAAAAAATAGTACGTGTAAATAATTATAGACAACTCTTTTTTTTTCTTTTTTTCTTTTTTTTGTATTTGGCATATTATGACTTTGTATATCCTAAGTTCCGAGGAAAAATGTGTGCAAAGTGGATGGCTATTAATTCTTCATTTGTTTCCGCTAATTTGCCCTTGAATTTGTTCGATGCACATGCAAACGGAGATGAGATGGCTGAGAATGATGTGTTCTCAAATTCCCTTCCATTTTTCCATTGCCAACCAATTTAGTGAGGCACGAATCTAATTCCAGTTCCTACTTACCGACACGACCATTCTCCACAGATGTAAAGAAAATTATTTTTTTTATAGGAGAAACTGAGAAGCAACAAAAACTATATAGGATTTAACAACACTATATCCAGACAATAGTTTAGTTGACCGTTGAAGTTTGAACTTGTTTTGATCTCCAAACGCAATTGTACGTACAATACTTGCAAGCATTCTGTTTATATAAGCTTCTATAAAGTACTTCTAGAATAGAAAAATAACAGAAAAATTGAATTAATTTTTTTCATTCGTTAAACAAGAATTAGAATAAGCTTTTAAAGCTAACAAATTTCTATCATAAAAGTGTTTTTGATAAAGTTTATCTGCACATATTCGTTTATGCTTATTCACTAGTTTCTCGGATCATCCAAAGGCAAATTAGGTCTAACTAGGCTCAGTAAGTGCAGACAAATAATATTTTCATTAGAGATTTGCTATGTAGAAAAATCTAAGAATTTTCATATAATTATTTTTTGGGCCAACAGATAAATGAGTTTAGACACACTAAAGAAGAGAGAGACAACGCAAGAGGGAGAATTTTACAATACTTGTGCCAAGGGTATCATAGAATTTCTCTTTTCGTTATTGCAGTAGTGAACAATAGATTGGTTAATGGGGTTTGTGTTTTCGACATAGTATTATACAATGTATTCAGGGGAATTCAGATCCTCTGTTGCTAATTATGTGCTCTAGCTGCATTGACTAGCAATCATTTGTAGCTAATCTTCCACCTCAGAGTGCAAAATAAAGCTGGGAAATGCCAGAGTTATATCCCTGATAAACAGAATCATTCAGTTTCATTATGTCAATAAACTTGAACAGTAAAAGAAAAGAAATGAATAAATTTCATTGATTCGAACAGTGGTGACTCACTTTAGATATGGTAGAGTCATGATCTTCAGAAGAGAAGGATTTTTTGCTACATATTCTTTCCACTCTTCTTTATCTATCTTCCCATCTCCTTTTGAATCAACCTCCTCCATTGTCTGAAAAATTAAGCCGAGAAAATAATTGATATAAGAATTGAAATAGTGGATTGAGTAAACAAAGAGAAATTGGAGAGCAAATTAATAACCTTGTCCACAATTGCTTCAGCAACATCATCGGGAACCGTAACATCTGATTCAGTCAGAGTAGCCAACACCATTTCCTTTAACTTGAGTAACATTATGAAATTTGTATGATGCATAAGAACGAAGCATAAACTATAAAGGTAGTTAAACTACTAGAGATGTAAATAAAGGAAGCACTCACTAAAACAATTGCCATTGTCAATGTCAAAAATGTATTTCCTACTATCTTAAAGAGAGAATGAAAGACAATGGAAAGCTTAAAGGAACTCACCCCTTGGCGTTCAATGTAACCACTTTGTCTAAGGTCAAACAATCTAAATGCAACTGTAAGAAAAAAATTGGCACAATCAAGTCCTTATTAACAAAATTGAAAGAACGTTGGATTTCTCTGACAAACACAAATAGTTTCATACATTCAATTTTCTTCTCTTCAGATGTATTTGGATGAAAGATGCTTAGTGAGCGAACAAATTCCCCAAAGCCAATTACTCCATCACGTTTGATATCAAACATATCAAATACCTGGATTTTGCTTTCACATAATATAAAGAAATAAGTATTCATGATAAAATTTTAACATGTTTGTCATTAATTTTTGCTAGTTGCACAGCATCGCACACAGAGATTACTTCATTACACAAATGCTATTTTGTAAAAAATAATTAATACGAAAGGGGATGATAAGTTGACTAATTAGGCAATGCATGACTGACTATACGTGAATGAACTGAAACAGAAGTCATTTTACCAATAAAACTATAAGAGTTATATTATGTTTATATAAACTTTTATAACACTCGTTTATAATTATTTTTTTTATCACATTATTCATCATATATCTAACTTCTTTCTCTTTCTATCTCACTTCTAGAACCAGGAATAAAATTTTTGAAACTGCAAGTAACACTACCCACCTCCTATAGTTTGGTACCAAATACTTTTTGGTACTATTTATCATTCATCTTGGATAAATGTCGGTGCACTGAACAGGAGATAAGAAAGATATATAAAATTTAGTAAAAGTACGCACCCTATCTGCAAATAGATTCTGCTTTCCGCTATTATTGAAAAGTGCAAGATGGAACTCCTCCTTCAGATAAAAATCTTCAAGAATTTAGCACGTTTACCTTACTTTCTATCAATATGAATTATGATGACGTTCAGCAATATAAACAACTCGTGGTAGTGTGAAAAGAAGGTAATATCCGCTCATTTAGCTATTTAGGAAAAAAACGGAATCCACTGTTACTAGCACTAGCTTAAATGGAAATACCTTGTGAAGAAAGTCATCATCAACAATTGCACTGCTTAGTTTTTTAAACGTGCAAAGCAAAGCCTCAACCTCATTCACAGTAACTGTCAAATGGTTAAAGGACATTCGAGAGTTAAACTATTAGAAATCTCACATCTACATCCCACAAAATGCAAGCACAAGTACCAGTTGTTTGGAATGAGAATGCAAAAAAACTAAAACATGAAGGCAATGGCCAGATTGATAATGATAACATAGTCATGGTACTTCCTTGAAAATTCCAATTAGGATTTAATACCAGATCAAAATAATAAATTGAGTGAATGTTGATTTTTCTACTCACAAGATGTCTCTGAAGCAAGAATGGTAGATAGTTCTTGCTTAGTCTTTGGTCTAGCTTTCTTCAAGCAAAAGCAGCTCATGGAATAGATATGGACTTGATTTCAATTTAAGGACTACAAGACATAGCTCTATCAAACACAACACTGTTAAACAGAGGCCCTGCCACACCAAAGAGAAAAAATGTACAAGTTCAAGATTAATCCTTCCTTATAAACACATCAAATTCTTATAAACAACATTGCGTGGACTCCTCATTTTGGACTCCATTAAAGATAGAGGAAACTGAAATATTATTACGTAAAGTAGATCGAGTCTTTCCTAGTTTCCTACAAAATTATAGACTTATAGTGTATCATTCCAATCTTCCAACCCGTTAATCTCAACAGACTTATGCTTATGTAACATAAGTCTTTTTCACCCCGCTGAATATGCAAACGCTATATCTCTACCAGGATCGACATAGTGGTAGGAGTTTGAGTAATTTACACAACAAAGAGAAAATGTAAACATTATATCTTAGAACAATTCTTGTCCTTTTGATAATTGTTGGTTTGTAAGATAACCGAGTCTGCTGCTACACTCTTCCAAGAAAATAAAAAAAGGGGACTTAGATGCATGAGAATAACAAATTAAAGATCTCAGCTTAAATCAGAAAAACTATGACTGGACTTTCACTTATCCATGATTGGGCAAGATAAAAATAAACAAAGTCAGAATGTTAGCTAATCTCTCAATTCAATTCAAAAACGACAAGCAGGAAAAGAAAAAGAAAATTCTAGAATTTGAAAACTTATGACCATTTGACTTATCATTAAATTGCACTTCTGTTGGTATTATTGAAAGCGAATGAATGAATGAATGATTCGAATGAAAGACAGAAAAAAGTCAACTGAGAGCAACGCATCTTTGTTATGATATGATGATCCAGTATTAGTTATAATCGTCCTCACTCCTCAGATATTGAAGAATACATTGTTCAAAGTTCAAACATATATCTAGAGTTTCTCGACTAGAATAACGAAACGTGGACCATTAATAACATGGTATAAAAGCGACTTACAGATAGTAGAAGAAGGTTATGTCCTTCAAAGGTACAGATATAATCACAGTTCAGGTAGAACCAGGGCAGCTTCATTCACATGATTGGGTCCTTGTTCTTCCTTTAAATTGATTAATTGATGTGCTGAGTCACTGCGTTCATTTACTTTGGACATTTGACTTGTCTATATGCTTATGTTTATGTTTATGATGTTCAACGTTACACTTTATAGTTTATACGAAAATGGGCATCATACTTGATGGCCACATTATTTCATATTAAATTGACTGTTGACTTGCCATTCACATTAACATAATTCTAAATCCTCTCACCAAATCTTCACATTAATTCTTCTACTTTTTAGACAAATAAAATATTGAATGGTTTTAAATTTTTTAAGAAATTAAATGTATTTATTGTTATTTAATATTTTGTAAGCATTAGGAAGTAGAATAATATAACATTCTTCTGATAAGAATTATCTAGTAATTTTTCACATGGGCTCTGGCTTTTTATTATATGAATTTCGGCTGTGTGTATTTTATATGAATGGATACATTTTTAATTATATTAATGCTACTTTTAAATTTTTTTGACCAATATCTTTTTTATTTATTATGTTTTGTTATTTCTTTCTTATTTTTTAAACTTTTTTTTTCTTCTTTTAACCACATTATTCATTACATTATTATTTTTTCTTCCTATCTTTTTTTATTCTTTCTCAAATATACGCTTATAAATGTGAAAATTACATTTTACTTTAACAATCAATTAATTGATAACTGTATTTATTTATTTGTATAAGAACAATAATAAACTCATATTTAAATTATTAAAAGTAATATTTAAATTTTAATAAGATATTTACCTTACATTAAAATAAATTATTTATCACATTAAAAATATTAATATTTTCATTTTTATTAAACATATAAATTAAATACATTAGTTCTTTTGAATATTTTTAACTATCAGCAAAAACTAAAATAACTTGTACTAATAATATGATGACAAAAAATAGAAAGTTTAAATAAGTTTTTTTTTTTTACTTTTTGGAAATATTTCAAAAGTCACTAGTATGTTAAAAATGATTTATTTTGGTCCATGTCATTAAGTATATTTGTTAAGTGTAGAGTTGGTTGATGATTCAATTTTTTTTTTCATTTGTGCTAATCATATTTCCTAATCAATAATAAAATGAATGATTTTAGTCCATGACATTAAGTATATTTGTTAAGTGTAGAGTAGGTTGATGATTGATGATTCAACTTTTTTTTTTTTTTTCATTTGTACTAAACATATTTCCGAATCAATAGTTGGAGACTAATTATTTTTTAGATGTATAAATTATCTGAGTAAATTTTGTTTCTCAACAAATTTTTTTGCATAAACATATTCATGAATCAAACATTTGAAAACATGTTTTCAAAATTGGTTATCAATGATTCAACTTTACTAATACATCCTAATCATTACACTGTAATATTATGTTATTGTTAAAAATGTTTTTGGTTCTTATAAATATTTTGTTTTTTAGTTTCAATTCTTAAAATATATTTTGTTTAATATGAATGTTTGTTCTTTCATAAGTGAGTGATTGAATTGGAAAATTGCAATTCAATTAAATTTGTCATGCATATTCTAGCAGTTGGTATTTGTATTCCTTAATTAAGGATGAGTTTTTATCTTTGATTTGTGCATGAAGTTGCAATTAAAATTACTATTTTATCTTTATAAGAGTCGATTGAGTAAAAAAAAGTTTTACTTCTTATGAAAAAAAAAACAGCAAAAATGATGACTACACATGCATACCCATGAGTTTTACCATTAAGTCAAAAAAGAAAATAATAAAATGATATGCGAGACTAACAAAGTTTATGATATATTTAATAAATTTCAATAAATAATAAAGATAAGTTTATTCACCTTTTGAAAGATTATGAACTCAAATTAAAAATAATTGGAGACTAAAATTAGATTTTTAAATATTTACAAATAAGAATAAGTTTTTAAACTTAGTGTGTTTTGTTTGGTGAAAAAAGAATAACGTACTGGGCTATAATTTGGGCCTAAAGTGAACTCTCATCCCTAATAATTGATGGGCCAAAAACAAAAAATGGAAAAACCAATGAAAGAGCGCTGAATGCTCACGTCGCCTACGTGATGTTAAAGAAGTCGATAGTGGACAACGTATTCAGCTTTTCAACGCGAAAAGTTTCGGAGCAAGATCGGATGAATTGAACCCGGCTTCTACCCAAATACAAGTTAGATACCGTGGTTTCTCTTCACCGATTCCATTTATATATACTTTTTTTAAAAATAAATTTTCAGGCAAAGGATTAATTAGTTGGTTATACTCTCTGCTAGCGCGTGATTGTTCGCATCGCATTCCTTTTCCTCTTCGTTCTTCCAATTTCCGTGTCTACACCGTATTGCGCCTTTCACAAGTTGGATTATGCTGAGGACTGGTTCCAAAATCTCGTGACTGTTTCTCTAATTGACGCAAGTTATCAGTGAATTAGTTTTTTTTTGCTACGAATTAGCTTCTCAATGGAGGCGGATTTCTTGACGAATGATATGCTCACACTCTCACAGGATGCTTTTGATGCGAACGATAATGTAAGCTCATCGCTCTCTTATGCATAAGTTGGAACTTCTTTACTTTAGATAAGAAATGCTGCTTAAACCCTCGCGTAATGTTATTTTTGTTGCATTTTTTGTAGTCTTGATAATTTCATGACAGGTTATGATTTTAATTTCATTTATGTTGTTTGAATGATGCAAATATACACGCAAGCATACGATAGAGTCGTGAATGGTTACTGATTGATCGCTTATGGTATATGTTTCTTTGATATTTCTTACTTAACAGGATGGTGTAGCTATTGAAGGGGAAAGATGTGGAATATGTATGGACGTTGTTATTGACAGGGGAGTTCTGGATTGCTGTCAGCACTGGTATCGATTTTCTTACTTACTTCTTAAAGCCTCAAAATATACGTTTTCTCTTTGAATTTGTCATCTCGATCTCGCTGGTTGGGTAATGTCAATGTTTTTTTTTATAGATTGTGCCTTACACCTCATCCGCAGAAGTAACAAAACTAGGTTTTCATTATTCATTGTGCTTGGTGAAGAAATATGAGAATGACTACATGGAAAAGTACAATGATTGATGATTTGTGCTGGCAATAATCTAATACTTTACTGCTTACCTTGGGCTTTGAATAAAATGTGACCGTCCCTTCAGAAATAATCCATACCATACATGCTAAAAAAGGGGTGCAAGTTATTGTTGGACTTACTTTTGGTTGAATTGTGAAGCTGAATCTAACTAAAATTATAATAACATCAAAGCTTTTCCCCACTTGGTAAATTTTCACATTAAAAACGATAAGATAAATTACACTCTTCTTCATTAAGAGATGCTTACACCGCCCTCCTCTTTGATTTTAAGAATTACACTTCCCGCTCTTGAGAGATGAAATGTACTACTCTTAGTCTTTAGTTTGTTTCAATGTAAACCAAGTGGAGGTGAATACTGACCATCTATGAATGAGCCTTCAGGAGATACTTTTCCTCCCTTAAAAATTTAGATACTGACCAACAGTTAATTTTGAACACATTATTATTGAATTTAGGAGTTTAGAAATTAGAAAATCAAATGAAGTTTCAATCACCTCTACTATCGAGTTTGAAGTTTTATCATTAACTAAACGGTTTTTAATTTTGTTAAGTAACGCACAAATAAAATTTGTCCTTGAGACACTTGTTAATTAAAATAGACTTAAGTGTAATGCATAATAATCTCTAACGGGAGAGAGTGTAATTTACTCAAGAAGAATAGAAAAGGAAGATATTCAACATGAAGTGTAAAATTATTGAATATGAATAGGCATAGTGGAGAGATCAGAGGACTCCTTGAGTGTGTAACCAAAGAGTAAAGAAATTGCCAACACGGGGAGGAATAAAGGGATATGTGGTGTGCATGGTGGGGTGTTTCCTGCAGTATGTGTAGGTGTAATATCCCAATTCCCAACCCCAAGTAAAGCATGTTGTTTCATTACATACTTTATTTATGAGAAATTTAGGTAGTAATCTTGGGGTATATGTGCGGAAGTGTTGAGATGCTCAATTGTTGTATTTTTTATTTGAATAGTTAGTTAATTTTAGGGCTGTTCAAAGAAATGCAAATAACTAAATCAAGCTGTCAACTGGACTGAACCGAACCTTAAACCAAACCTTTTAAAATAGTTCAAACCTAAATTGTTAAATAAGTGCATGAACCAAGCCAGTTGAAAATCCAGTTTGGTGAAACATTACAACCAAATACATATCACTAATCAGAACAAACACCCCCCCTCCCCCCCCAATACACTAATGAGAACTATTTTGCCCATTACCCATGAGATTTGAGTGTGTGGAGCACACTAGGCCCATTCACCTGCAATTACAGTATTGTGCAATTATGTAAGGAAAAGCTCAAATAGGATTAATAACGATGGAATTTTTGTATGGAATAAGTAAGTTTGTGCTGTTCCATTGTGCTATGCAACCCACAATGCTCATCTCTCTCTGATTGTGTGCTTCTTTTTGAGGCCTAACTGTATATGAGAAACTGATTTTCAAAATAGAGAAGTAGTTCAGTATGTGTTGAAGAACTAGTTTTCCAAAACTGATTTTTAACTGGATATGTTGAAGAATGAAGTTAGTAGTTCAGTATAAAGAACTGTATTTTGTTCAATTGAGCAGGCGGAACTGGATTTTAAACCAGTTCTTGAACTTTGTTTTTTTTTTTTTTTTTTTTTTTTGTAGAAACAACCAGTTCAGTTTAGAACTGGTTTACTGAATTATGAAACCGGTTCAGTAATTCGGTTCAGTTTAATTCTCATCAAACCCAAATAATTTGGATCAGTTTAATGGAACCACATATCTAGTTTAATTCAATTCTGTTCAGTTTTTTACTCTGTACTGAACTGTGATCTGGTTAAGTTATTTTTGAGGAACTATGGATATGGGTGTTGGTTAGACTGTATTAAATTGGTTATCCACCCTGTTATTGTTTTTTCCCCCTGCTGTGCTTGCTTTCTGTTTTGTAGGGAACGTACTGCCAAAAAGTGGTATTGTAATGTGGAGATTCTCATTGACATAAGTTCCCCAATGAAGGGGATTTATTAGATAGGCAGACATTCGTTCTATACTATCCAGTGGAAGATATATCTTTTTTTTCTATCTTACTCTTTTTGCATTCATTTTTCATTGGTGTAAGCTTCAGCTTCTTTTCCTCATGTATCACATATTTGTCTATTGATAATAAGTATACTATCTTAGTGAAGGCCTTAAGGTTACTGATGTACTATTAGCCCCTCCAATTTACCTGGTGCAATTCTTCTTTATATTGGAATGTTTTATATGACCTTTAGAAGAATCTTCTGGTTGGATGTATACATTTGAGGGGATTGCTGTCCTTCCTGTATTAGAGCCTCTGTTAGATTGCATAACGAGTTTGTTATGTTAAATTTTCATTCTTTACATTCACTTGGTCCCCATTAAATGTTGATTTTTTCTTCATTTTTCAGTATGTATGTTGAAATAGGAATCTGGAATTTTAGCTCGGTTCATTTATTTCACAGGTTCTGCTTTGTATGCATTGACAACTGGGCTTCCATCACTAATCTTTGCCCACTTTGCCAGAATGAGTTTCAGTTAATCACTTGTGTTCCAGTGAGTGATATAAAATTGCGGAATGCTGCTTTATCTTCATTGCTTTAGTATAACTCTTCAGGTTACAATTGAATTTGCTCACCTTATTAATCCTGTTCTAGGCTAATTATTTTGTTGTTTTGATTAATATTATTATGAAATTTTATGTTTTTGATGCATCTAATACCTTGAAAATACTATTAAAATTTGGTGCATGGCTAAACATGTGAAACTCATGATTGTGAAGGTTTATGATACCATTGGAAACAATAAAGTTGAAGATGAGTCATTGTTCAGGTAAGATTGTCAGCCTTATTTTCGTTGTTTGTTTATATCCACATCCATTTAAGCTTAGGATTTTAGAATTGGTGTTTAAAATGGAAATCATGGATTTTGCATAATTCTAGCAGTGCATCACTGTTACTGAATTTAAAGTAAATACTTCACAATTTCATTACTTCATTTTGAGCACGTCTTCTTAGTGTTTTATTGCTCAATTTTGAGTAAATGCTTTACAGTTTTATCATGTTTCTGCTGTAAAAAAAATTATATAATTTTTTAACTGTTTTCCTTCATGACTGCAGAGATGATGACTGGTCCATTGAAGAGAAGAATAACACACTGTCATTTCCCTCTTACTACATTGATGAAAATGTAATTGTTTTTCACATAATATAATTTTAGAATTCCTGGCAAAAAAATCTTGACCTCTGGCTAAGTTCATATTAATGGATGGCAATTGGCAGCCTTGCTTCTAGTATTTCTTGTATTTTTGCATTATCATGATTCCTCTACACAAACATTATAGATAAGACAATGTGTCCTCCTATGTTTTGCAGTTCCCTGTAATTTCAGTTGCATCTATAGTACTGTTAAACATTCAGTTAGTGCAGCTGCTAGTTGGTTAGTTGCTGACTCAGCACTGAGTCATAGGGCTCTTCTGTATAAGGTTTACCCTCTTGATGGTTTCTATTAATGATAATATCATAGTTCAGTTTCTCTCTATTATGTTTTTCTAAGGATTCTATCAGGTCTTTTGATCTTTCTAAATGTCACTACTCTCTATGGAGTCATATTATACGTACAAATTTTGGCATGTAGATCCTTAGCATTGTGTTACGTGTGGCTGGTAAATTCGTCTTGACAACTTCCTCCAATGACCTTGGTCTTCCTTTTCAAAAGATTAAAGACCATACAATCTACTCTTCTCATTGTTTCTTCTAGTGTCCCTTGTATGTGTCTGAATCACCTTAACTAATTTTTTTTGTCATTCTTTTCTCAGCCAGTGTCACACCAATATCTCCTTGTATATAGTCCTTTTGTATTTCGTCCTTTGTAGTACGGCCACACATCCATCTTAACATTCTCATTTATGTTATTCTTATATTTTTTTCTTATTCTCCTTTTAAAGTCCAATATTTCACTACCTTAGAGTATAGCCAAATGTATGGCAACACAATAAAATTGGTTTTTTAAACACTGATAAGATATTTACTTGCATGGTAATTGATAAGAGATAATGAGGAGGCTGAAGAGAGTGAAAAGCTAGATAGAAAAGTAAAGAACAAAAATGTACTGGCTGAACATATTTAATAGTTAGTAATGACCCTTAAACCATCGTTTGTATTAATACCATGACTACATATTGGCATGTGCACTGCAAGCAACTAATTTATAATTCCCTAAATATATTTATAAATAACGAAAATCCTTGCCAAAAAAAAATGTTCATGGATTAATGTAATTTTCAGCATTCTTAATTGTCTTTTTGAAAGTTTAATGCATAACACTAATCCTTTTGTATTTCATCATTTTGTAGGCAGTTATTTGCTTGGATGGTGATGGCTGCAAGGTTCGCAATGGGTTGGCTACTATTGAAGGAGATTCTGATCTAGATACATCAATAGCTTGCGATTCATGTGACATATGGTAAACTTAAGTCAATGGATTAGGTTGATAAGTTTCAGATACAGTTTAAAATGAATAACTTTTGTTTAAGGGTGTGTTTGGTTTCAAAAAACATTTTCTATTTTCTATTTTTATTTTTAGAAAATAATTTTCATTTTCTGGTTTTAAAATTTAGAAAACATGTTTGGTTTGACTATTTTCAATAAAATTTCATGAAACGTTTTTTGTATAAAATTTACAATCAAAATTACTCTCTCTCTATATGAATTAGAATAATACTTTATTTTGTAAATATTTCACTTTTTTCACTCTATATTATATTTATTCTCATTTGAACATTTTCCTCTCATAATAGTTGGATTTTACTCTGAAAACGTACAAATGTCCCTTATATTTTTTTGTATCAAATGAATAATTTATTATCGAACAAGCACTAATTGTATATCAAAGTAAAATATATATTTTATCTTTATAAACAATATATATATATATAATACTACTTATCTTAAAATATATCAACCAAAACTTAATCATACTAAATATTAATCATATTAAATAAATAATATTTAATTAAAATTATTAAATAATATAAACAACATATGTAATTAAAATTCTATAGAATAATTATATATAATAAAAATCTTGTAATATTAATATATAATATATATGCAAACACCAAACAAAACTTTTCTGCACACAAAAAAAAAGACAGATTGATTGATTGAATTACATGTATAAAAGAATTTAAGTCTATTGAATTATGCATACGGTTGCAAGCTTAGAAGCAAGTTCTTAATAATTACCATTACATGCCACTGTATTTTCAAAAGTGCAGAGAATAGTGAAAATGACATTTTTTCATTTTTAATTTTGGGCTTCTTTTGAAAACATTTTCAAAGAAAACATTTTCTAAAATTAAAAGTAAACACATTTTCATGCTTATTTTTTTATTTTATTTGAAAATGAAAATAGAAAACAGTGAAATCAAACAGACCCTATGTCTTTAATGAATATGATGTTGGGGTTGGATTGGTCAGCTCTATGTAATTGCATGTTTGCCTAAGCTTAGACCTCGTCTGAAAGGACCATTTGGCAGAAAAAAATTGTTTCTTAGCTTGTCAAAGTATTTGCAGATAAGTTCATAACAAGCACTAATAAACATATAGTTAAGATTCTTAAGAATAATATGTGGATTATAAGTTTGATGGGAGTCAAGGGCACAGTCAGGCATGAACTTTGCTTTTGGGACACACTTTGGATTGCTTGTCTTGTTATATTAATAATATTATACAAGGTTAAGGCAACTGTTTTATCAAAGCATGGCCATCAATGATCAACTCATTCCTAATACCCGCTAGATCATAATTATAAGAGAGGTAGTGTAAATAATATAGTCTAAAAGAGCTTGTGCAAGTGTTTTTTGTCACCCACTTTAATTGGTGGATAGGGAAATCATATCATGAATATATATCATATCATTATTAGGATTTTTGAAGCAGTACCACATAATTTTTGCTTGAATTGCATTGTGACAGGTATCATGCCTTCTGTGTGGGATTTGATACTGAAGGTACATCGGACAGTACATGGTTATGCCCCAGGTAAATTGACTTTACTGGTTATTCTGTTAGGTATTTTTGTTCTTCTAATTGCTTTTTTTCCTCCTTTAATCTGAAAGCTCGATCTGGCTTGTATTTTTTAACATGCATGGTACATATTGGCTACTAGCTTATAAATAATAATAATATAGTTTGATAAGTCTATGGTTCTCTATAATAGAAAAATTGGTTAGATAATTATATTCTAAACAAAAATTAGAAATTATTTACGATGTGATTAACTATTAAATGAATGTATTTTATCCAATAACAAAATAGAACTATCAAAGGAACGTCTTTTAACAAAATCCCTAGGTAAGTTTCCTTCACCTGAATTATAAAATTGTTTGCTAATAGTATTTGATATCTTCTTTCCATCCTTTAGTATTCTAATTCAGGGTTTTGTTTTAGATGTGTGGTTGATGAAGTGTCTAAAGGAACATCCAATTCAATAGAGAGGACAACCGTGGAATTTAATGCAGATAATAGTAACAGTGAATGCCATGCGGAGGATTCCTTTTCAGGAAAAGTGTCTGTGTCTGTTGCTGATACAGGAGAGACAGCTGTTGTTGTCTCGATGGTGGACAGGACAAAATGGGTTCCAGAAACAAGTGAGAAAAGCCCATTACCTTTTGAAGTTGATGGGGATCCAATGACTGAATCATGTATTTTAAAATCTGACACAAATAATCACCAAAATGGGGAAGAGAAGACAGATATGTTACCGATCATGGAGGAAGAACTTGAACTGTCTTTATCAAACAATATATCCTGTAGCCTAACTTCTAAATCCTTAGTGGATAATGATATAAAGAAAAGTGCAAGTCAAGCAAGGAATGGAGCAAGTGGCTTTGACGGGTCCAAGTTATTTGATGAGTCCCATAATAAAACTAGTCCATCCAAAATTGAATCTGATATGGGTCTTCATCTTGGTTTATCAGTGGGCTCTTTTTTATCTGGTAAAATATATTGTATATTGCTAGCTTTTTGTGAGAATGAAAAGTATATAGCAAAACAAGTTTTTGTTCTCTTCTATTATAAACTAGACTGATTGTCATAATCTTAATGTGCTTATAGTTGACAATGCAGACAAGAATGAAAAAAAAGATGAAGCAACTGATGTCATTGATAATGCAGACCCGAACGAAACAAAAGATCAAGTAACTCATGTCCCAGGCTCAATTTCAGAAGAATGTATTTTGAAAGGTACTTCACCCTCCATTCTTAGAAATATGACTTCTCTTGCTTTTTCTTATTTTAGTCCACACTTGGACTGGGGGAAACCAATGATATTGGTGGCTTCAAAACATATAAACTAGGTTTTAAGCCATTTATTGTCATGAATAAAATGTTCTCAGGAGATGAAATTGAAGTCAATGCTCACAAGGACAATGCCAGAGTGGCTGGTGGAAAGAGAAAGCATGCTGATTACAGGTAAGAAACTAAGAGTTCATTTAAATTTTTATCATATTAAATGAGTGGTGTTCCTTGGTCATTGTGCTGTGGAGTGAGAGGATGTAAAAATGCTGTAGGATAAAACACACCTTGCCCTAGTCCTTGTATGTAGTTTACTATGACTTTTTCTGAATATTAAAAAAATAAATAATCAAATACACACACATACACACCTTTTTTTTTTTTTTTTTTTTTAAAAAAAATTA